CTCCCAGTTCGTCTCGCGGTTCTCCCAGTTTGTCTCGCGGTTCTCCCAGTTTGTGTCGCGGTGCTCCCGGTGCGGCTCGCGGTGCTCGCGGTGCTCGCGGTGCTCGCGGTGCTCGCGGTGCTGGGGATCGCCGGGGGACGGGGCCAGGGCCCGCAGCAGCGCCGGGTGCTCGCAGGAGGTGGCCAGGAGCTCCTTGAGGATGTGGATGGGGGACACGGTGAGCTCCCAGTTGGTGATGCCGAAGTCGCGCAGGTGAGCGCGGGCGTGGCTCGAGAGCCCGGCCCGAGTGTCGAACCCCGCGCCGCAGAACTCGCAGCGCATCAGGCTGAACGTGCCCGGGTCAAAGTTGGCCACTGGAAGGGAGCACAGGTGGTCAGGGCTACCAAAACACACCAGGATCCCAAAAATCCCCATGAAAATTGCAAAAAACCCCACCCAAAATCACCAAAAAATCACCAAAATCCAACCCATAAGGCTGAACGTGCCCGGGTCAAAGTTGGCCACTGGAAATAGGGACAGGTGGTCAGGGCTACCAAAACTCACCAGGATCCCAAAAATCCCCATGAAAATTGCAAAAAACCCCACCCAAAATGACCAAAAAATCACCAAAATTCACCCCAAGAGGATGAACCTGCCCGGGTCAAAGTTGGCCACTGGAAATAGGGACAGGTGGTCAGTGCTACCAAAACACACCAGGATCCCAAAAATCCCCATGAAAATCGTGAAAAATCCCACCCAAAATGACCAAGAAATCACCAAAATTCACCCCAAGAGGATGAACCTGCCCAGGTCAAAGTTGGCCACTGGAAGGGAGCACAGGTGGTCAGGGCTACCAAAACCCACCAGGATCCCAAAAATCCCCATGAAAATTGCAAAAAACCCCACCCAAAATGACCAAGAAATCACCAAAATTCACCCCAAGAGGCTGAACGTGCCCGGGTCAAAGTTGGCCACTGGAAATAGGGACAGGTGGTCAGGGCTACCAAAACCATCAGGATCCCAGAAATCCCCATGAAAATTGCAAAAAACCCCACCCAAAATGACCAAAAACACCCCAAAATCCAACCCATCAGGCTGAACGTGCCCGGGTCAAAGTTGGCCACTGAAAGGGAGGACGGGTGGTCAGTGGTGGGAGCTGGGCTACCAAAACCACCAGGATCCTAAAAATCCCCATGAAAATCGCAAAAAACCCCACCCAAAATCACCAAAAAATCACCAAAATTCACCCCAAGAGGATGAACCTGCCCAGGTCAAAGTTGGCCACTGAAAGGGAGCACAGGTGGTCAGGGCTACCAAAACCCACCAGGATCCCCAGAATCCCCCAAAAACCCACCCAAAACCCACGAAAACCCAGAAAAAAAACACCAAAAAATCACCAAAATGCACCCCAGGAGACGTTTGGAATGAAGGAATTTGGTACAAAGTCATTTTGGAAAGCAGGAATTTGGCACAAACTCCGTCTGGAAATCAGGAATTTGATAGAAACTCCCTTTTTAAATCAGGAATTCTATACAAACTCCCTCTGGAAACCAGGAATTCTGTACAAACTCCCTTTTCAGAGCAGGAATTTGGCACAAACTCCCTCTGGAAATCAGGAATTTGGCACAAACTCCCTCTGGAAATCAGGAATTCTGTACAAACTCCCTTTTTAAATCAGGAATTCAGTACCAACTTCCTCTGGAAATCAGGAATTCTGCACAAACTCCCTTTTTAAATCAGGAATTCTATACAAACTCCCTCTGGAAACCAGGAATTCTGTACAAACTCCCTTTTCAGAGCAGGAATTTGGCACAAACTCCCTCTGGAAATCAGGAATTTGGCACAAACTCCCTCTGGAAATCAGGAATTCTGTACAAACTCCCTTTTTAAACCATGAATTCTATACAAACTGCCCCTGGAAACCGGGAACTCGGTACCAACTACCTTTTTTCTTCTTTTTCTGGAAGGAGAATTTCTGCTCGATGGCCTTGACCTGCTCAGCGGAGATGAAGTGGCGCACGTTGTAGCTGACGCCCACGCGGTTCAGGTGGCCGCGCACGTGGTTGGCCAGGCCGATGCCGTTGTGGAAGCGGTCGGGGCAGTAGGGACATTTCCTCTCCTCGTTCCTCAGCATGGTGGCCTCGGAGCCCAGCAGCTCCTCCAGCTCCAGGGGACCCTCCAGGGGCGACTCCAGCAGCAGAACGTCCAAGGGGAGCGGCTCCTCCGGCGCCGCCTCCCGCGCCGCCGCCTTCTTCTTCTTCTTGGGCGGCTTCCCCCGAGGCCTCTTGGGCGCCTTGGGGTGCGCGGCCGCCTCGTGCAGCACCACCAGGGGCACCATCATCCTCAGCTGCCGCTGCTGCTCCTCGCTGCCCGTTTCTGCGGCCCTCAAGGCGGCCCCGAAGGTTCTCTTGAGCTCCAGCGCTGCCCGCGGCACGGCCACGCTGCCGGCGCGGCCCGGCTCCGGCTCCTCCTCCTCCTCGTCGTCGTCCGGCGGCCACGAGGCCCGCGGCTCCTCGGGGTGGCCCCGGAGGTTGTCCCCGTCCCCTTCCAGCTGTTGGGTGGCCGCTCTCTTCCTCAGCTGCTGCAGGGCCGAGTGGGAATAGGATTTGGGCGAGGAGAACCCGGCAAAGGCGGCGTTTGCTTGGGAATAAGGCGCCGCCTTCCTGGCGTGCTGGAATCCCTGCGGCTCCTTCTTGGCGGCTCCGTTGCTCTTGTCCGACCTGGGATGGGCCGACCCGAAGGAGGGATCGTAGAGGGACGAACTCTCCCGGCACGGAGCAGGGAAACGCCGCTCGGTTTTGCCGAAAAACTCCACGGCGGGCCGGGCGGGGCTGTAGGAATCGCGGCTGGTGCCGGGCTGGTTGGGGTCGTCCTGGAAAGCGTCGGGCTGCCAGGACAGGTGGGAGTGGGCGAACCTCAGGTGCTCCTTGAGGATGAGCTCGTTGGGGGCCGGGAAGCCGCAGAGGACGCAGGCGCTCGGAGCTTTGCCGCCCGGCGCCTCCTCGGCGCGCGGGGCTTTGTAGAGGCCGTGCCCGGCGCCGTCCCGGAGCTCGCCGAAGAGCCCCGAGCTCCTGGAGCCCTGCTCCTTCCTCTCCTTCACGTGCATCTTGGCGTGCTGCACGAAAATCTTGGAGGAGTTGGTGCCGAAAACGCATTTGGGGCACTGGAGCCGCGCCTCGCGCCCCTCGTCCGGGAACTCGTTGAGTTTCTGGATCTCCTCGATGATTTTCTCCCGCGACTCCTGGTGCTGCCTCTTGTGCCGCTCCAGCGCCGCGGCGTCGCCGAAGGCCCAGCCGCACTCGGCGCAGCAGAAGCGGCAGCGGCCGGCGGCGTCGGCGCCGCGCGGGGCGCAGCCGCGGCTGTGCTGCAGCGTGTGCTCCAGCAGGTGCTCGCGCCGCCGGAAGTAGATGCTGCACTCGATGCAGGTGAACACGCCGGCGGCGTCGGCGTCGTCCCGCCCGTGCCGCGGCCCCCGCGCCTCGGCCGGCTCGTCCAGCAGCACGCCGCACACGTAGGGCGCGCTCACCTCCGGCGCCGGCTCCGGCAGCAGCCGCTCCACCGAGTCCTCGGCGTTCACCGTCCACGATTGTTTGCCCACCGCGTCCGCTTTGGGCGGGGCCCACTCGGGCGCGGCGGCGAAGTCCGGCTCGGCTCGGGCCGAGGCGTCGCTTTTGGCCGGCAGCGATTTGCGGAACGCCGGGAACGCCGAGGCGGGCGCCGCGTCCGGCGCCGGGAGCGGCTCCTGGAAAGCCGGGCTGGGGCTCGCGGTGGCCCTGGAGATCCACTCCAACCTCTGCACGCCCCTCCTGCTTTGATCCGGCTGCTCCGTGCCGAGCCCTTCCGCTTGCTTTGGTTCGTTTTGGGGATATTCCTCCTCCTCCTCCTCCTCTTCCTCCTCATCCTCCTCCTCCTCCTCCTCGTCCCGAGGGCCGGGCTGAGGCTCGGCAGGCTCCTCGTGCTCGGCGCGCAGCCGGAGCGCGGTGACGCCGCGGGGCTCCCGGCACGGTGACGGTGACGCCGGGCGGTGCCGGCAGCCGCCCGGGGGCTCTAAAGTGCTTTGGTCCACGCCGGACGCGTCCCAGGACACGGCCACGGCCACGGGAACGGGAACGGGCACGGACACGGCCCGCGGCTCCGGCCGCAGCAGCGCCCGCGGCAACGCCGGGGACTCCTCGGGAGACGGGCTGGAAGGGAAGGTGGGGGTGAGAAACTGGGATTTGGGGAAGGGGAAATGGGAACTGGGGTGAGAAACTGGGATTTGGGGAAGGGGAAATGGGAACTGGGGTGAGAAACTNCCGGGGACTCCTCGGGAGACGGGCTGGAAGGGAAGGTGGGGGTGAGAAACTGGGATTTGGGGAAGGGGAAATGGGAACTGGGGTGAGAAACTGGGGTTTGGGGAAGGGGAAAGAGGGATTTTAGGGAAACGCAACTGGGATGGATCCAGGAGAACTGGGGTGGAACTGGGATGGATTCAGGGGAACTGGGATGGAATAGGGTGGATCCAGGGGAACTGGGGTGGAACTGGGGTGGATCTAGGGGAACTGGGATGGAACTGGGATGAACTGGGGTGGATCCAGGGGAACTGGGATGAACTGGGATGAACTGGGGTGGACCCAGGGGAACTGGGATGGAACTGGGGTGGATCCAGGGGAACTGGGTTGGAACTGGGATGAACTGGGATGAACTGGGGTGGATCCAGGGGAACTCACATAAGCTGTGTCCGGTGAGGCGCGGCCGGGACGGCTCCGGACAGGGCGGGGTCGGGGTCGGGCTCGTCTGGAAAACACGGAAAGCGCCGCGCTCAGCCAACGGGGACGGCGTTTTCCAAGGAAAAAAAAAAAACATTCCCGGCACAGCCGGCGCCGCGGCTCCCGCCGGGATCGGTGCCGGATTGGCGAGCCCGGCAAATGGATCAGAGCTCCTAAGGAGGGGAACGGGGAGGCCCCGGGGAGATCCCACAGATCCCAGAGATCCCACAGATCCCAGAGATCCCAGAGATCCCATTATCCCACAGATCCCAGAGATCCCATTATCCCACAGATCCCACAGATCCCAGAGATCCCGTTATCCCAGACATCCCAGAGATCCCATTACCCCAGAGATCCCATTACCCCACAGATCCCACAGATCCCACAGATCCCATTATCCCACAGATCCCAGAGATCCCATTACCCCACAGATCCCATTACCCCACAGATCCCACAGATCCCAGAGATCCCGTTATCCCACAGATCTCTGTTATCCCAGTTCCAAAATTCTGTCCCAGTGGCAGCGAGAGTGGTTGGGTGGTCGTTGGTGAGTTGGTGTCCAACCAAACCCAACCCAACCCAAACAAACCCAACTGAACCCAACTGAACCCAACTGAACCCAACCCAACTCAAAGCAACCCAACCCAACTCAACCCAACTCAATCCAACTCAACCAAACTAAACTCCACTCAACCCAACTGAACCCAACCCAACTCAACCAAACCCAACCAACCCAACCCAACTTGACCAAACCCAACTCCATCCATCCAAACCAAACCCAACCCAACAAAACCCAATTCAAACCAACCCAACACAACTCAACCCAACCAACCCAACCCAATCAAACCAAACGAACCCAACCCAACTCCATCCATCCAAACCAAACCCAACTCAACCCAACCTAACCAAACACAACCCAACAAACCTCAACCCAATTCAAACCAACCCAACCCAACCCAACTCAACCAAACCCAAGCCAACAAAACCAGCCCAACTCAACCCCGGGGTTTCCCGCCCCGCACGGCGCGGATTTGGGGTCGTATCCAGCGCCGTGGGGAATTCCACGATGGAAACTTTCAGCCATGGAATAATTAAGGTTGGAAAAGAAGAATCACGGAATGGTTACGGCCGGAAGAGACCTCCAAGATGGAGCCCAGCCCTCACCAGCAGCACGAGACACCCAAAAATTGGGAGTTTTGGCACCGTCGGAGCCGTTTGACTCCCAAAATGCCTCTGGAAAGGCGGGGAAGAGGGAATTCCATTCCCACACCCATCCTGACACTGAACCCATCCAACGACCCCAAATTTGGCTCCTCCAGCCCCAAGGACCAGCCAGGGCGGGCCCAACCCAAGCACTGGGCAGGAAGGAGAAAAACAGGGAAATTCCAGGGAAAAAAGGGGAAATGGAAATTGTTGCCTCTTCAAACGACCCTGAATAAATTCCCACAGAAAGCTGGGATTGACCCAGGCCCATGGATCGATCCTGGAATGTCCCCATTGGACACATGGATCCATGGGAGATCCGGTGACGTCACAGG